GGGGGGGGCTAGCTAGCCCACTATGGGTAGCAACTCCCCTGGGCAGGTGGTCCTGGGCTGTACTAAGAAAGGTAACTAAGCAAGTCAGAAAGCAGCATTCCTCTGAGGTTTCTCCCTCAGTTCCTGCCCTGGCTTCTCCTGAGGATGGAGTATAACTTGTAAACAAAGATAAATCCTTTCCTCCCCAAGATGGTCAGTGCTTCGATTTTTTAAAAATTTATTTTTATGTGTATGAGTGTTTTGCCTTCAAGTATGTAAGTACACTCATGCATGCAATGCCCAAGGAGGTCAGAAGGCACCAGATCCCCTGGAACTAGAATTACAGTAGTTTGGTGCCATGTGGGTCCTGGGTCCTCTGCAAGAGCAGCCACTGCTCTCAACTGCTGAGTTATCTCTCCAGTTCTTGTTCAGTGTTTTTTGTTTTTGATCACAACAGAAAGCAAACTACCTGGTCTCCCCACAATGGCAAGTTTGAGGCACAAAAAACAGCTGACCCATGGGAGGTGCAAAGAGATGACAGCCATTTCCCAGGTCTATTGCTGAGCACCAGAGGTTAGATGGAAAGTCAAGACTGCACCTTACAAAAACAAAAACCAGTACTTTCCAGAGATACCTAGAGGAACCCACTGTTGAGTGCCGGACTATATAACTTAAGCTTTCTGGACCAAGGACAGGGGTCTCCTCACAGGAAAGCGTAAGCCAGCACCACCTCCAGGACCTGCAATGACTGCCTTTACAATAGGCACCACAGGGACCTGAACAGAGCGCCCAACTTGAGGTGATACATGTTCAAATGCCAAATGGAGGCTCTCCTAAAACACAGAAGAGGGCAAACCCAAGGAGAGGCCTGGGAGGGGCACACAAGGTGCTAAATAATGTGAGAGGAGGTAATCTTCTTGGTCCATGTTTCATGAAACAAGGTGCAAAGCTGGGACCCAAAGAGGTTGGGCACTAACATACAGCTACAAGTTGCTGGGGGCTTCAGTGAGGGAGAACCTACTTCCTCTGGGGTCATCTACCCCAGGAAGGCCTCGTCCCTCCATCTTCAGTGTAAACCACTACAAAGACAACAGTGCGACCATCAAACTGGTGCCTCAGAGACACAGAAACAACTGCAGCCAAGGAAGTCATCCAGGGTTGTACCTCTGAGCCAGGGCTGCAGAGAACAACCCCCAGGAGACCTCTCCCAGGAAGTTCCTTTCAGAACACAGAAGTAGGGACCAGGTTACACACTCACATGTGCTCAGAGGAGGTGAGTTTATTCAAACCACTGGGAAACCCAGGCCACAGAGCAGGGATCCAGACTGGTCAACTCATTGTGCCCTTTTGTCACATATTCGTGTTCACTGATTACCACAGGGTCTTCTAGCAAGCGGACAAAACTCCAATGCTGTCCCCTACTCCTTACCCCACATCCACTGCACCCACCCACCCAACAGCCAACAGGTGAAGCTTTGCGATGAGGTTCTGAGGATAACATCCCATCCTGGATTGCTGTGTCCCGACAGACTCTCCAGCACACCCTTCACCTTTGATAAAGGCTCTGCCTCTACTCGGTCAGGTCACTCGTCATTCCTGGAGGGTTTGGAAGAGAAAAGGAAGTTTCAAGTTCAAGCTTAATAAACCAGGCTTAATTAGTGCCCACTCTAGACTTAAGATTTTCTTTCTTCTTAAAATGACTCTATGTGTGTGCATGATGGGGGGAGAAATGCCACAGCCTATTTGGAAGTCAGAGGACAACTCCATGGAGTCACCTTTCTCTTTCTACCTTTATATGGGTTCTGAGCATCAAACTCAGGTCACTAGGCTTGCACAGTAAGCACCTTTACCTCACTGAGCCATCCCAATGAACCTATATTTACATTCTCTACCAGGTGAGTTCAACCTTTTCACACTGCAATACAACACTGTCATCTACAAAGTTCGTGCTCAAGAACACATACACAAAAATCAATGTTTTAAGTTTATGGTCTTCCTTTCAGCTGTATTCATAGCTATTCTTGGCCTCATGTGGCCCAGAGCCTGCAGGTTACATGAATGTTTGTAGTCTACACCAAAAAAACACAGCCAAAGACTCCCAGGGCTGACTGCTAGGAAACATAATGGGGCTCTTAATGACCTTTGCTAGAGATGCTTGTTCATGCTTCCTGCTCAGAGACTGTAGAGGCGACTGGTATTCTCTCGCAGGGCTACCAAAGTATGGGAGAGTGACTCTTCTTTGACCCTGGCAATCTCTCGGACTGTGTGCAGGGCCAAACCCGGGTGGGCATACTGGCAGAGACTTCTGGGCACCTGGAAGACAGCAAGCATTCAGAACATCACTGTGCCTTTTGCACACAGCAGTCACACAGAATGCCTCCCATCCCGTCCCCAACAAGGACCTCTTCGGGGCTACCCTGTAGAGACCCCTTTACCTGCAGGTGCAGGGAGAGTCCTAGTCATGGGGGGCTCTGGGTGAGCAGGGTCCCACGCTTCCGTGAACTACCCTCTACAGGGTAGGGCTTTGCACTGCCTGGAAGAGAGTGGTTACCCTTCAGCTTCTCAGCCCCCAGGACTTTTGGTTCTACAGAGCAAAAACAGGGAGACACCTGCACTGCCCAGGGCAGGACCAGGAGGTCACTGGGACTCGGGCCCAGGCAGCCTCCCACTCGCTCTCCTTGGCACCTCAAGCTGGGCTGAAGACGCCCTACCTGACGAGGAAGGAAGTAGGGTGCATCCGTTTCCACAATGATCCTCTCCATTGGGATCTGTCTAAGGGCCTCCCTGGCCTCCCAGGCTGAGGAGTAGGTGAGAACTGCCGTGAAGCCCACTGACATGTTGGGGAAGTACTTCAACAAGGGCTCGATGACTGAGTAGCTGCCAGTGAAGCAGTGCCTGTGGGAAAGTACAAGTTAGGGCTTGTTCCTGGCATCAACAGCAGCCCCCAGTTGCCTCCAACCCTACGACCCTATTAGTGGGCCCCATAAAAAAAGACCCTTGTATCCAGGTAAAGACTCCAGAGCAAACCCAGACAGGATCATGTCCAAACATAGCAGGCCTCAAGCTGACATGGGGTGCACGTGCTAAGCACCACTCCCACCTGGCACTAAGCGGCAACCTGATATGACCACAGCCATGGTACAGGATGAGGAAGCATTGGAAAGGGGATGCAGAACTGAAGTCTGGCCATCCCAAGGATACAGGCACTGCATGTAAAAATTGTGCGCTAGAAAGAAATGGTCAAATGAAAATACTGGGGAGTAGGTCACAGGTGATTTTTTTTTTTTTTTTTCATCTTTTTGAAACAGGAGCTCCCTGTAGCCACAGCCAGCCTGGAACTCATATAGACCAGGCTGACCTTCCTTGATCTCACAGAGATCCATCAGTCTCTACCCCCCAAATACTGGGATTAAAAACATGCCCCACCACAACCAGCCAGTTCATACTCTCAAGTCAACAAATACTGTTAACTCATCTGGAACTCAAGGCTTCCTCCAGCTACAACCCCCTAACAAGCTGTCTGAGGTTTGGTCCAGATGCCCTTTAAAGTCAGGCCTCAGTGAAGTCCAACCAGTCATCACTATGCCTCTCACCCTTTGCCTCAGCACCCAGAGGGTGGCAGCAAAGCAGCTGATACCCTTACTCTCTCCTATCATCTGACAAGACCTGGTTCTGGTCCCAACCTCCCTGGATTTTTGTTGCTCCCACTCAAGCATCACCTCTTAACCACTTCTAGTCAGGCTAAAGGGCTCCTGCCCAGGCACTCTCCATATCTATGCCCACACCTCAGTCTCACTCCACACACTGAGGCCTCCAGCAGACCTGTCTTTCATAGCTCTTCCCAGGGCATGCACACATCCAGCCTATGTCTGGCATACACTGTAGGAATTCAAGGGAGTTTACTACCTAGACTAAGATTGTAGTTTCCACTGAGGTAAAACACAGACTGGATTTTAATGCTAACTAGGACAAAGTGAATTTTCAGGTTGCCTGTAATCCCAGCACTGGGGAAACAGAGGCAAATGGATCAGCTATATATTGAGTCTGAAGCCAGGCTGGGCTAATCAAAATAAACAAAAGAACTTTCAAATTCAAAAAAGGAAAAGTATAAGAAGTTATCTTTTCAGAAGCCGTGGAGGGGTCTGTGTGCTAAGCTACTGGACTCCACAGTAGCCTCCCCCGATGTCTAAGATCTGAAAGCTCCTTTTTGCTTATTTGTAATTTAAGGGCATTAACTTAAATCATTACAAAGTCACTGCTCTGTAAGTAAAGACTGGTCAACTGCCAGAAGTTTTGGGTGGTTATACTTAATAATTATTTAGACAAGGTACTTTAAAACATAATATGGAAGCTAGGCATGGTAGCACACACCTATAATCCCAATACTCTGGAGGTTTAGGCTGGGGGATAGCCATGAGTTCCAGGCCAGTCTAGGTTTCAAGACCCTGTCTCAAACCCCACCCCAAATTTTTCTTGAATGCAGTGTAGGTCAGGATCTCAAAAGGACCTCAAAAACCACCCATATAGTATTGTTTTCCTTATTGAGTTTCCTTTTCCAGCCAGTGTAGGAGTGCATCATGTGCCTGCTGAAGCTGCAGCTCCTAACCTATGGATCTTGTAGTCAGAGGGCACAAATTTTTTCATGATGTCCAGCAGATCTTCATCAGCTTCTCGGCAATGGATGACCAAGGGCTTCTTCAGAGACACAGCTAGCTGCAGCTGTCTCTCAAACACCTGGGAGTAGACAAAGTAACCACAGCTGGTTAGTGGCCCTTCAGTTACCTCTGGGTACTCCTGCTGTCTCTAATGTTTGCTTCTAAACTATATGATGGAATCAATCACAGCTAAGGTCTACCAGGGTTTCCTCCACATCCAAGTGCTCAAAGCTCTTGCACTGCTCAATAACCTCCAAGCCTCACTGGCTCCCTGGGGAGACACTATAGCCCAGGAGGCAGTAATCTGCAGCTTGAAGGCCAGAGAAGTCCCCTACCCCTATCCTGGACACCCAACAATGAACACTGTACAAGGATGTCGGAGCAGGAATCAAAAATGTATAGCACTAACCTGCTTCCCTTCAGCTCAATACCATACCTCTACTCCCAGGAGGTAACCAACTTCCAACTTCAGACCTTTCCCTATGCAAAAGCTGTGTGCTAGCACACTCCTCCAGTAAAATGCCCAGCTCTCAGAAGGTGCTGGCTCAGGTTTCCTGCATCTCCTAAGTAAATATCTGTAGATTTACTGCATGCTGTAGAACTCTAGTTTCTCAATATTTTCACTAGTAAAATCCATAGTTAATAACACAAGCAAACAAGTAGGAATAAACCTATTCATTCCCCTAACATGGCCAACATAAACAGCAACAGAACTTATTGTAAAAGTTACCTCACCTGAAACTTGATGCTTCCATGAGCAGTTTTTCAGTTGTGGAACACAGCTCATGTTTGCATCCTCAGCATCAATAACAAACATTCAGTAATGTCCACTTCGGATTGACACTGACAAGTCTAAGGCATGTGCCACCTCTTCTCAAAATAGGGGCACCAGACAATATCAATTCTGATGTAGTTTTTGTTTTTGTTTAACTTAAGTTTTAAGCATAAGGAAAATAACAAGATACCAATCAAATGTTTATTATGTGGGTGCTGGGAACTCAGGTTCTCATGTTTGCACAGCAAGTACTTTTACCCACTGAGCTATCTCCCCAGTCTCTCCCACACCACTCACTTTCTATTTTCCTTTTCTTTTTTTTAAGATTTTATCCTGATAAGTGAGTATATACAGGAACCAGGATAATGAAAAGGAACCAGGAAGGTAAAGAAAAGAATCTCAAAGAACAGCAGGAAACAGGCATTAATAAGGGAGACATGGATAAAAATGGGGTTATTTTAAGGGGAGCGGGGAGGGAAGGTTATACAAGGAACCTAGGGGATAAAGGGAAAGAAAGAGCTCAAGAGAGGTGGGACCATACGAGAAGAGTATTAAGAAATGGGAAAAATGGGGGTACTTTAAATGGGGAAACCATGGTGGAAGGGTTAGACAATTCAAGAGATAAATAATGCCTAGCTAGTTTTTTAAAAAATCAAAGGGAACCATATTAATCAAACAATATGCTGACAAATTATACATACGACTAGCTCAAGGAATATATATCTAGGCAAGGTCTATCTGAGAACGTTTGGTCTTTGCCCAAGCTTTATCCACATGGCACATGGTAAATAAAAGTACCAGACTGGTGGAACTAACCTTCTTGGATGTTTAACAGCCATACTTTGAGGCCTATAGTAATTTGATCAGAGGGACTCACCAGTCTTCTTGATCAAGGAAGCTGAGGAGACCCCACCAGATGGACTTGAACCAGTGTCCAGTCTACAAAGAGGAAGGTCAACACAAAGGAAACATTTCCTCCATGCTTCCAAGTGAAGCCAGCCATGGTCGAGTAGGACCTTTGACTTATCTTCACATAGACGGAACTGGTAAAAGAAAGGAGCCAGGGGCTCCTCCCAAGCCCATGTGACCCCTGAGGAATAGATCTGTAAACGGCCTTAAGAGTAAAAATAAATTGGTTTATCTGGGCCAACTGTGTGGTCTTAAACACCGAAAAGGCAAAGTATAACCAAAAATTAAAGGGGTCAATATAATTTTTTTAAAAGTCCATGTGTATAGCTAAAGGCTATATATCTTTGAGTTGTTGGCCAGGGTGGCCCAAGAGACTCCCAGACAGTAACCCAGCATAGAACTAGGAAAATGAACAGCAGACTCCAGTCTTATCTAAAGGAATATTGACAACTGATTGCTGCTAGATAAAAAAAAAGACTGATCTTCCTAAAACAAGGAACTCTAAATAGGCTGACTAGATTCAGGGGATTGAGGAAGAACTGATCATCCTAAAACAAAGAACTCTAGATAGGCTGGCTAGACTCAGCAGATGGACAAGCACTGGGGAATGGCTGGGGGCGCCAACAACACAGTGGACAGTAACAGGGATACCAGAGTATATGGGCTCCAGTGGGGCAGGGGGGTTGGCGGGGGTGCTATGGGAGGGTGCCATGTGGGGAGTGGGTATATAGACAAATAAGATTGTTTGGGATATTCTGTATGATATACACACACACAAAAATCAACAAATTTAAAAAATGAGTTATATTTGAGGAAGAAGCATAAAAATTTGCTTCATGTTAATTAGTAGAGGTGAAAAACATTACCATTGAAATCTACCTGATGACTTTATATCCATACTCAGGTGCCAAAGGATCCGAGTGTAACCGACTGTGACTAGTAACAATCAGATACATAGAGATTAGAGACACATGTGCAAACATCTAAGTGTTATAGTAGCATTAAAAATGAGTTTTTTTGTAGGAAACAGTATACTTTAAAATGAAATGGAGATCTTTTTTAAGGGTTAAAACCTCATTCAATTTTATGTCTTACAGGGTTTATACTGAGTTCAATATTGTACAACTGTATTACTTCATCTGTGAACCTAAAAATTCATAGCCACTTTCCAAAGAGATGTATCTTTGCTCTAAAATTGTTATTGAATATGTTAAAGCTGTAATGAAATGCTTCATCTAATCATGTGGTTAGTAAACAATTTTTTAATTAAAAGTATTTTTTTTAATTTATTTTTATGTGTAAGAGTGTTTTGCCCACATGTATGTAAAGTGTACCGCTATGGTGCCCAGAGGCCAGAAGGGGGCATCAGATCCCCTGGAACTAGAATTACAGATGGTTGTTAGCCACCATGTGGGTACTGGGAATCAAACCTAGGTCCCCTGCAAGAGCAGCCAGTGCTCTTAACTGCTGATCCATCTCTCCAGCCCCATATCCTCTTTCCTTAAAAGCAATTACAGTACTGATGTGCAGCTCACCTGTATCACTTTTGCCTAGCATGCCCAAGGCCCTAGGTTCTATCCCCACCATGAGAACAGAGCTACTACTAGATACCACATACACTTCCTTGTGTCTAAGACAGGTAATTATAAGACAAGCCATCAACTGTCCCTTGCAACTTCCCAGAAAGCCTAGCATTAAATACATAATGTCCCATAAAACATATCCAAATTATTAAAAAACAAAAACAGTGAGATAAACAAATTCCCCAGTATGCAGGGCTGAGACAGTACAGCAGCTAAGGGCCCGTACCTGCATAATTCTCTCTGGCTGCCTATTTCCTGGTTCCCAGCTGACACACCATTCCATGGGCTTAACCCATCTCTCCTGGGGAACCAGGCATTTCTTGCATTCTTATTACCTCCATAATGAATTCCAATCAAACACAGAGGCAAACAAAGCCAGAGTCCATTGAGTTGGGTGGGGCCAGACACTGCATTCTTCCTGGCTTTTCAACCAAAGGACTCTGATCACCATAATGGTGAATGCTGTACAATGTGCACAGGAAATATCTAGGGTCTAAATCACTGGAAGTTAAGTAATTAAACTGTGATTACACAGATAAACAAAGAGCCAACAGTGGTTTATTACATGGAACAGGAGAACTACCCATCCTTTCATAATTTTCCTTTTCTTTTTATTTTGAGACAGTGTTTCATTGTGTAGCCCTGGCTGGTCTGGAACTCACTATGTGTCTAGAACTCAGAGAGATCCACCTAACTCTGTCTCCTGAATATTGGTATTAAAAGTATGCCTGGCCATTTTTTATTCTTTTGTTTTCCAATCTTTCCCATCTTTTCAGAAAGCATCAGGTAAAAAGCTGGATATGGTGGACATGGTGGTGCCCGCCTTTAATCCCAGCACTCAGGAGGCAGAGGCAGGTGGATCTCGATGAGTTTGAGGCCAGCTAGCTCTCACTGCTAGTTACACTCCCAACCCCAAGCTCTCTCTCACAGGGAGCCAGCTCTGACTCTTACCAATTCTGGCAGATACAGTCCTTCCCTGGGCTCCTCTTTCCTTCACAACTAAGACTTGCACACCAAAATCTTGCTAATGGATGCAGATGTGCCAACGGGATGGTTGCTGGTCACCACTAGTCACCTCATTTGGGTGTCAAATTTGAGATTTACATAAAAAACACAGCAGCCACTTCCTCTGTCCAGCTGAGCACCCTCCATGATGACAATGTCTGAGCTGTAACTGCTTCTCATGAAGATTTGTCTCCGCCCTCCTCCCACCAGCAACCTATCTCCTGACTCACCCTGGCCCATTTTCTCATCTTGTGTTCCATCTTACCAAGTCAAATGACACCTGGAAGACCACTAATCGAGTTCAGCTTGTGCACAGTAGACCTGGACCACTAGATGCACATCTGAGCCCCTCCTAATAACAAAGGACCTAGGTACTGTGAAGTACTCTGAGCTTGGTTCCTGGCACCAGGTAGGTATCCAGTAAACATGGGCTATACAACTGCGTATGATACTCCACTGAGGAGCTACCTAAACTCTCCTCATCACACCTGCCATGTGCAGGGGCAAGTGGAAAAACAGAGCATTACGTCTCACTATCCTGAAAGTCTCCCCATGTGCTCGTATAGTTTATATGTCATGTGGCTAACACAGTGTCACCTCAAGTCAGCTGTGAAAGAGCCAGAGGAAAGCCAGCAAGCCAAATTCTGTACAGGCAGGACCCCAAAACAGCAGCTCTCCAAGGTCTAGAGCCTGTGGGAAAGTCTCAGACCTCACAGGCCTCCCAGCTGCTCCAGGAGTCCAGCACACAAGCTCCACACAAGCTCCACCACAACCCCACTAGGAATAAGAAGGCCTCTCCCTCATCTCCATCAGAAATTCCACTGCATTTCTGCTACAAGGATTCTACCCATCTAAACACCATGCTCAAAAAATATATGGAAGAATCAGGCATGGTGGTACAAGCCTTTTTAATCCCAGCACTCAGGAGGCAGAGGCAGGTAGATCTCTGAGTTCAAGGCCAGCCTGGTCTACACAGGGAGTTCTAGGTCAGCTGGGACTACAGGGAAACTCTGTCTCAAAAAGATAAAAAAAAAATAAAAAAAGGAAAAAAATGTTAGGATGGCAACAGTCCTTACCTCTGAATGAATGAGAATTTGTACTTTTCAAATATTCTGTACTAGGCATACTTAACTTTAAAAACCCAAAACAAAGCAGGGCATGGTGGCACATTCCATTAATACAAGCTGAGGCAGGTGGATCTCTGTGAGTTCAAGGCCAGCCTGGTTTACATAGTGAGTTCTAAGCCAGCTGGGACTACAGGGAGACCCTGTCTCAAAAAATCCAAAACAAAAATAAATAAATAAATAAATTAATTAATTTTTAAAAAACTGGGTGTGGTTGGTGGCAGTATAATCTCAACACTTGAGGAGTGGAGACAGAAGGATCAAGAGTTCAAGGCCATGGGCTGGAGAGATGGCTCAGCGGTTAAGAGCACTGACTGCTCTTGCAGAGGACTCAGGTTCAATTCCAGCACCCACATGGCTGCTACGAACCATCCTTAACTCCAGTTCCAGGGGAATCCAAAGCCCTCTTCTGACCTCCACAGCATTGCATGACATGGGTGCACTCACATACATGCAGGCAATACACTCATACACATAAAATAAAAATAATAAATAAAATATTGAAAAAAAGAGTTCAAGGCCAGCTTAAAGAGAGCTTATCTCAAACTAAAAAATAGTTTGCTGCTTCCCAAGAACACAAAGCAAATGTCTTGCCACTGACATTAGCCACATGAAGTCTCAAAACGGATCAATGAAATGGATTAGCAGGTAAAGGCACTTGCCGCCAAGCCTAATGAGGTGAGCTCTATCTCAGGACCCAGGGGGATCTCATCAAGTTCACCAGCCTGGTCTACATAGTGAGTTCTAGGCCAGCCAGGGCTATAAAGTGAGACACCCCCCCCTTCAAAACAAACAAACCAAAACAAACCCCCCATAGAAAAAATACCAGTTTGTCAAATTTTTGAATGAAGGCATCCAGAAGCTCTAGACAAGAAGAGCAAGGACAATCTTGGGAACTCTAAATCCTTTAGTTCCAAAGTAGAAAAGTCTTTACTGTGAGGTTTCAAGGACCATAGGAAGAATCAGACCAAAACAGAGCTTCTTACCTGGTGCTGCTCAGGGATGGGCGTGGTACACTTGTAAGAGTAATCCAGACCCATTTCCCCAAATGCCACAGCCTTGGGGTGCCGTAAAGCTTGCAAAAGGTTTCTTTCTTGACTCTCACTGTAGTAACGTGCAAAATGAGGGTGACAGCCAAAGGCTCCCCAAACCAGATCCTCTTTCAGGAGTTCCTCCCACAGGCCATCAGTCAGTGTCCGTGGATCACAGAAGTCAGAGATGCAGCCCTGAAACTCCTTAGGGAAGGAGCTGCTGTAAATCTTTCTAAACTTTGTAAATGTTCCTTTGAAAGACAGCTTAGAGTACAGCATGTCCAGGTGGCAGTGGGTATCAATGAAGCCCTCCTCCAGGCTCAGCTCCTGGTAGCTCTTTGGCAGGGAGCCGGATGTGTGTCCTCCAACATGGTGAGGTGCTGTCTCCTCACGGAATGTCCGTTTCTCCTTCACCTTCACCTTCACCTCCTCCTCCTCTTCCTCCTCCTCCTCCTCCTCCTCCTCCTCCTCCGAGCTTCTGGAGAATCTAAGTGAGCGAGAATTCTGGGACCTGCCTTCTGGGGCAACCTCCAGGCCTCTGGAGGCCTTGTGGGCACTCACTGTAGACTTGGGAGAGTGAGTACTCAGAAGGCTCTGGCTGCTCTTCCCAGCATGAACAGGGTCATGGCTACTGCAGCCCACCCATGGGTAGCCAGGAATCTTGGGGCTGCTAGTCCAGTAGCTGGCATAGTCACACCACGGGCTACTGTACAGATGAGGAGGGTACATAACATAGTCAATGGGGAAGGAAGAAGGTTCTGGAACTGTTGAGTATTTCAATGAGATGGGCTCCTCCTGAGAGAACCTCACAGTGGCCAACTCATCCACATCAGACCAGTCACTCCCTGAAGAGGGGTGCTCAATCACCACCTCCCTGTCTGTGTGCTGCAGAAAAGAAAGGCAGTAGGTTAGCCTTCCTATGGGAAACTGACCTCCCTCACCCAGTTCTTCAGTTCCAGAATGGTCTGTCCCCTCCAGACCTCAAACTGACCTTAATCCCATTATGAGGTTATAGGAGATTTGAGATTACAAACTTAATCTGATTACAGAGTTTAGAGGTGGGGTCTTTGAGAGGCGATCAGGATTAGGTGTGGAATGTGGAGCCCCATGACTGAACACTGATGGCTTGATAGAGAAGACCAGACAATAAAAACATACAAGCAAACAGGCACTGGCCCCTCATCTGTCTTCAAGTAATGCCACACCTCAGAATGCTGCCAGTAAGGCAGCCTATCACCAGATGCACCCTTGACTTTGGACCACAGACATGAGCCAAAATAAATCTTCATAATTTGCTGGGGCAGCGATAGTACATTATCAGCAACAGGACATCAAGTAGGACATTAAATCTGGCTGTTTCCTGGCCTTTGCAATGGTGGGCTAGTTTGCTTTTCACCTGGTCACTTTGCAATTTCCAGAAGCAAGCCACACTACAGCTACTACCAATTACATAAAGTTCAGGGAATAAATCTGTGACCAAGGTGTTAGATGCCACCCCCAAAGAGATGCTATATGGGAAACTCCCTCCCTCTCAACCACTCTTTCTTGAGAAAACTACTCTCTGTATTCTAGAGGATTTGATGAGAAAAAGGACAGGCCTAATGTCTCAAATGTTCAAATCACAAAGCCAGAATAGCTATGGCAGGTTTAAAAGGTGTCTCCCAAAATAAAACGCTACTCTTTACTGAGAGGTCTGTGATCTCTCCCCCCAATCTGGGTCACTAGTGATTCACTTTAATCAAAAGAGTACAGAGATGTTTCATCCCCTCAAAGACCTGGTCATAAAAGATGCCCTCGGCAAACCATGCAGAAAAGCCATGCACCATATAGGAAGTCAAACCACTCTTAGCGCCTCTGGCTAGTGGGATCATAGGCAGATGCAGGGGGATGGCCTCCAGCCTATTCGGCAAGCACTGGCTGTTAGCCACACAAGTGAGCACCACACATCCAGCTCTGCTGAGTCAGACAACTTCAGCCCTCACCAAGATCTGAATAGAACCATATATACCACTTTGTATCCTCAAGGGAGGCCTGTCTAGTCCAGACCTTTCTCAAACCCTAACCCACAAAAATGAAGGAAAAATCAGGTAGTTGAAGTCACTAATGGGCATTAGTGACCAGAACAATACCCTACATCAAATCAATGTAATTTTAATAGAACAGAAGGTTAAGTTCAACAAGGCAGGCTTTTTAGTTTTACTGTTTCTCAAATATCCAAGAACAAGGCAAACAGTTGTGATTCCTGACCACACCTTCACATTGTCACTAAGTGAGGAGGATTCTAAAAGAAAAAATTTAAGGCCCATTCCATGGAGAGATGGCAATTCAACAGGGTCAGAGCAGGGATGAAGTCTGTATTTAAATCTTTATGTAATTTCCATGCAGAAAGCACATATATATCAAATTCACACTAAAATCTTTATCACTTCATTGGCAACTTTCTGTTTCATTGTTTTTTTGAGATCAGGCCTCATTACATAGCACTGGTTAGCCTGGAACTTGCTATGCAGACCAGACTGCCCTCAAACCCTCAGATCCACCTGCCCTGCCTTTGCTTCTCAAGAGCTAGGATTAAGGTATGTGTACCACACCCAGCTTTTTGTTTTTTTCAGAGTCCTATGTAGGGGGCTGGAGAGATGGCTCAGTGGTTAAGAACACTGGTTGTTCTTGCAGAATATCTGGGTTCGTATCCCAGCACCCACATACGTGACCCTATAGATTGCTGCCTCAACTGTCTGGTGTGCATGTGTAATTCCCCTGATTGGGTCTGGCGAAAGGGAGGGCTTTCAGGGCATCTATATAACGGAAAAAATGGCGCAATGAAAAAAGAAGCTTGAACCCTACCTTGGTGTTCGTGTCATTTCTCCTCAGCTCTGGAGGTCAGAGTTGAGGATCATGGCACATACAGTCCACAAAACGGTAGAAAATATTTGAAAATCACATACACAATGAGAGACTTACATCAGAGCCAGAGTGATGACTCAGCTCTTGCTGCTTCTACAGAGGGCCTGAGATTGTTTCTGAGCACCCACATCTGGCAGCTAACAACTGTCCGTAACTCCAGTTCCAGGGTATCTGACAGCCTCTTCTGTCCTCCGCAGGCATTGTATGACACAGGTGCACTTAACTACATGCAGGCAATACACGCATACACATTAAAATAATAAAATACGTTTCTTAAAAAAAAAAAAGAGTCCTATATACCCCAGGCTGGAACTAATATAACTCAGGGTGTCCTCAAAATCACAGTCCTCCTGTCTCATGTCTCAGCCTTTTTTGTCTTTTTGAGACAGGGTTTCCCTGTAGCCCTGGAACTTGATATGTAGACCAGGCTGGCCTTGGAGATCTGCCTGTCTCTGCCTCCCAAGTGCTGCGACTACAGGCATGTGCCACCATACCCAGCTAAAAAATGTTTTTTGAAATACTTTATGTGTGGGCCAGGCGTGGTAGTGCACGCCTTTAATCCTAGCATTTGAGAGGCAGCAGAGGCAGGCGGATCTCTGTGAGTTTGAGGCTAGCCTGGTCTACATAGAGTTCCAGGTCAGCTGGGGCTACAGGGAAACCCTGTCTCAAAAAGACAAAAAAAAAAACTTTATGTGCATGAGTATTGCCTGCATGTGTGTAAGTGCACCCATGTCGTGCAATAGCCACGGAGGTCAGAAAAGAGTGTCAGATCCCCGGGAGCTGGAGTTACAGATGGTTTGTAGCTGCCATGTGGGTGCTGGGAACCACACCACAGTCTTCTGCAAGAGCAGCCATCTCTCCAGTCCCTCAGAAATGTTTTTAGTCAGGTATGGCAGCTCGCATCTGTAATCCCAGCAGTCAAGAGGCTGAGGCAGGAAAATCATCCAATACACAGTGAGCCTTATCTCAAAATAAATAATTACCTTTTCTTTTTCTTCTTTTAATTTATTCTTGCTTTCCTCTTCCTTTTTTTTTTTTTTTTTTTAAACTTAGAGATAGTCTCACTACATAGCTCAGACTTGCTGAAACTTTTGAGTCTCTGGCTTCCTCTCTCAGCCTCAAAGTACTTATTTTACCTTCCTTGTTTTTCCTCAACAGAAGTTCATCTGATTAGAATGTCTAAACTGCTCAAATATAAGGAAAGTTTTTAATCCAAAATTATTTCTCAGAAAAGAAGACATCACCTACACTGTGATCCTTACAAAGTCTCTGGTACTACACAGAAGGTGTGCCTCTGTAGTCTGAGGAAGACAAATGATTCCATACTTCAGCAAGCTCATTTTGGATGTTTACAGGAGCTTAATAACCTTTTTCTTCTTGTTAAAAAAAAAAAAAAAAAAAAAAAAAAAAGGGATGGGGCTGGAAAGATGGCTCAGTACTTAAGAACACTGACTATTCTTGCAGAAGACCAGGGTTTGAGCCCCAGCACCCATATGGCAGCTAACTGTCTGTAACTCGAGTTCTAGGGGATCCAACATCCTCTTCTGTCCTCCACAGGCACTGCATGACACGAGTGCACTTACCTATGTGCAAGCATGATACTCACACACATAAAATAAAAATAAGTAAAACATTTTTTAAAAGGGGGGGGTAGGGCATAGGTCATGCCAGCCTAATGGCTCAGCAGATAAAGGTACTTACCACACAAGTCTGATTAACTGAGTTTCATGTCTGGAAACATGTCCACAAAGCTGTCCTCTGATGTCCATTTGTGGGCCTATGCCCACCCCCCCATATCATGCACACACAATAAATAAATGAATAAAAATGGACAAAGAGTATTTAATGGACAATGTGTATTTAATAATTATTCCCAAGAATAAGATCTCACTCCCAAGTGTTAAATGTCACATTTTAAGGATTTGATTGCCATTGTTTTTTGTTTTGTTTGTTTAAGATTGGGTCTTAGGTTGTAAAGCTGGGGCAGCCATTAAAGGCTTAAGCTCAAATCAAAAAGACAAGATTGGGTCTCATATACCCAAACTGCCTTCACACTCCCTATGCAGATGACCTTGCTCTAACTTATTGTTGTTGGTTCAGACAGGGTCTCCCTGTAGCCCCAATTGGTCTAGAACTCACTATATAGACCAGGCTGGCCATGATCTCACAGAAATCTACCTGCCTTTGCCTCTGAGTGCTGGTATTAAAGTCATGCACTGGCAACCTTTAACTCTTAATCTTCCTGCCTCTATAGCACAAATGTTCAAATTGCCGGCTCATATCACCATGCCCAGCAAGTATTACTATTATTTATTTCTTTCTTTTGTATGATCACTTTTTGAGATAGGCTCTTACTCTGCAGCCCAGGGTAGATCTGTAATTCATTATGTAGACCACGCTAGCAGCTAAGAGTAAGCCCTGCTTTGAGTACAATACACACAGAAGACCACAACTAGCCGAGTTTAAAGAATAAGAGATTGCAGAGTGTGGGCCCCTGGATAGGACTCCTATATTAAATCTCACCTACCCATGGTTCAGGGACCACTGCGGAAGAGCAGGTAGAAAGACTGTAAGAGCGAGGGTTGGTCCATGAACATAGGGAAACAGAGGCTTTCGGGCCACTGAAGTTTGCTCATGTAAACTTGTGGCAATGGTGGCAGTGTATACAGTATCCATGCCAACTCAATTAGACAAGAGCCCAGCGTGGAGGGAGAAAAATGGGTAGCCCTAGACTGAGAACTGTTGGCAACAGATTACTGCTGGGTGAGAACAGATCTTAAGATCTCTCAATAAGCTGACTAGATTCCAGTGGATGAACTTCCACAGAAGAACATATGGATACAAATGCTTGGCTTGACAGGATAAAATGCATAAGGTAGGGGCCGGGGAGGGATATATGGGGGGGGGTCTAAATTTGATTAAGAACTACTGTATGAAATGCACAAAAATTCAATAAAATTTTTTTTAAAAAAAAAAAAGATTAAGCCGGGCTGGAGAGATGCCTCAACAGTTTTAAGAACACTGACTGGTCTTGCAGAAGACCCAGGTTCGAACCCCAGCACTCACATGGCAGCTAACAACTGTCCATAACTCTAGGTCCAGGGGATCGGACAGCCTCTTCTGTCCTCCATGGGCATTGCACAGCACGGGTGCACTTACTACATTGAGGCATAACACGGGTGCACTTACTACATGCAGGCATAACACTCATACACATAAAATAAAAATATTTTTAAAAAATAAAATAAAAAATAAAAGATGTCTTTTTGAGACAGGGTCTCCCTGTAGCCCCAGCTGGCCTGGAACTCACTGTGTAGACCAGGCTGGCCCGGAACTCACAGAGATCTGCCTGCCTCTGCCTCCCAAGTGCTGGGACTAGACATGATCACTTTGATTAAAACACAAGATGGTTAAAGATACACTAGAAAAATACTCAAGAGGGCCTGGAGAGATGGCTCAGCAGTTAAGAACACTGGCTGCTCTTGCAGAAGACCTGGGTTCAAATCCCAGCACCCACATGGCAGCGAATGACTGTCCATAACTCCAGTTCCAGGGGATCCGACAGCCTCTTCTATCCTCCATGGGCACTGCACAACACAGGTGCACTTACGTACATGCAGGCAATATACGCATATACACAAAATAAAAAAATACTCAAGAAACTTTTAACAGTGGTTACAGGCAGAGAAAAAAGGCAAAACAGGACTCTGAAAGCTTTGCACTGAATAGTTAAACATCTCCAGGAAAATTTCCAGGAGCAGCATCACAGATTCTAGATGTGCTGCCTAACACCAGCTCTCAGCTGCAAGAAACTTAAGTGGACAAATAACCCCCATTGTGCACAAGTCACAGCAGGGAGGAAGAGCCCAAAGATGAAGACTCTCTGCATGTGGTTCTTATTTGGGTTGTTTCCAACTAAAACCACCATGAAACAGAAAGGAAAATTTAACCACTGACTGAATAAGTGATGATATTAAAGACTGTTTGGGCTGGAGAGATAGCTCAGTAGTTAAGTGTGCATGGTGGCTCATAATTCCAGTTCCAGGGGATTAAATGCCCTGGAAATGGATGATTCAGGGGATTAAACACCTTCTTCTGGCCTCTGTGGGCATTGCACACACGTGGTTCACTTACATACATGGAGGGAAAACATTCACACACATAAATGATTTAAAAAAAAGATTATGTCCCTGAGTTTTAAGATTGTGATTACATTGGAGGTGGTGCTATATACTTGTATGTTAGCACACGTGTGTATCGCCTATGTGTGGGCTTGTGCAGGCCAGAGGTATTCCTCAATTGCGTTCCACATTTTTTTTTTTTTTTTTTGAGACAAGGTCTCTCACTGAACCTGGACTGGTAGTTTCAGCTAGGCTGTATAGCCAGCAAACCCAGGGATCCACCTGGCTCCATTCCCCCTCTACCCCCTCAGCTTTTACATGGTTGCTAGGAATTCAAATTCAGGTCCTTATGCTTGTACAATAAGCACTTTATCCACTGAGCCTTCTTTCCAGCCCCTTTTTGTTTGTTTTAAATCCTTTTAGATATATACATTTAAATATTATGGATGAAAACAACACAGTAGTTGGAATTGCTTCACAATAATTCATGCAGAGAGAAGGGGCAGAGACAAGACAAAGCCTGGCAGGGAGCCAACTATTGAGATGAGTGATGAGTGGGTGTATCACATTAACTCTTTAAAGTTTCCACAAGAAAGTGTTAAAAATAAGGGTTGGAGAGATGATTCAGTGGTTAAGAACACTGGCTGACTTACAGAGCACCCAGGTTTGGTTCTTAGCACCCACATGACAGTTAACAACCATCTATAACTCCAGTTCCAGGGAAAGCAACACCTTTTTCTGACCTCTGCAGACACTGTACAACATGGATACACTTTCATACATGTAGGCAAAATACTCATAAAGCAAAAATAAATCAATCAAAACTATTAAAAATAAAATTCTAGCCAGGTGTGGTGGCACACAGTGTAATCCCAGTACTCAGGAGGTTGAAACAGAAGATGAAGGTCAGTCTGGACTACAAAATAAGGCCCTGACTCAAAAATTTAAAAATAAGTAAAGAATAAAACTCCATTTCAAATGGAAGGAAAGGTGTCATGTCTTCTGACTATACCCCAAATTTCCCTATCAGCCAGGGGTATTTCCTGAAAATAATAATAAATTTCAGGTTTCATCCAGGACCTCCGAAGCCATATTCTCTTATTCAAGGAAATTCAAGACTCACATCAGATGACTCACATCAAAAGTTAACTCTAGTGACACATCAAAGACCCCTGAGAAGGTCTGATAAACTGATGAAATGTGAAAGTGGGAGAAAAAAATGTCAGACATGGTAGCACACACCTGTAATCTCAGAACTCAGGAGACAGAGGCAAGAGAACTGCTACAAGTTTAAGGATAACCAGGGCTACATGAGATTTTGTCTTAAAAAAAAAAAAGATAGGGGGTGGGGTGACAGAGGGGGAAAAAAAAAGCAACTTCAAAAATGCCCAGGTACTTTTCTGGGCATGGTGGTGCATGCCTTTAATCCCAGAACTTGGGAAGCAGAGGCAGGTGGATCTCTGTTTCAGGCCAGCTGGGTCTACAGGGAGACCCTGTCTCAAAAAGCCAAAAAAAAAAAAACAAAAAAACAAAAGCAAAAAAATCACCCAGGTAACTAGAAACATATACCACAAACCAACTTAAGCTTATGATATCTCAAGTCTTGAAGAGCTCAAGTTGTCCTTAGGCTCAAACCCATGTGGTAAAATTTAAATAACCCAAGGCACTTTGTTCGTAGTTTTATGCAAACACAGGAACATTTACTTGTATGGTATCTATGGTTTCATGCAGAGTTGAAAAATCTAACATACTTACTGTATATACTAGGTAACCCTTCACAGAAAGTTTGATAAGCCTGTAAATTTTTCTTTAACTGTGTTAATATTTGAAAAACTATCCCATTTTATTCAAGGAAAAAACATCTCAAGCCAAGTCAGGTAGCAGGGCAAAGTCTGAGCCCAAATGCACTATCAAGCACTGATCTAACTAACGGATACTAAGTATCTAAATGTCACTCTGACAAATCAAGAGTCTGTGTATAATTCTGAAAAACTCATATTTATGATGGAACTCTAGGCAGCCCTCCCCAACCCCCGCAAAAAAGTCTACATCCAGCTTGTAAATTTCAGTGCTGGGTATGTGGAAGCAGTGGATCACTGCTCACTGGTCAGCTAGCCTAGCCTACTACTCTGCCAAGTTTGAGGCCAAGGAGAAGATCCTATCTCAAACAAAAGGTAGAAGGCACCTGAGGACTGATGCCTGAGGTCGGCCTGACCTCCACACACACATTTACACATACATACAAAGGAAAACTAAAATCACACAAGTTTTTCTGAGTTTAAGCTTGCCCAGATGAAGAGTAATTTCCCAGACTCCCTCAAAGTTAAGTGCTTAGCTGCGTTTCCAGATGCTTCTCAACAGGTGTGAGCAGATTCAGCATGTACAATTTTTGAACCAAGGTCTTAAGAAAAAGTATATTGTCCCCTTCTTACTGGCCAGTGTCTGTATATCATACTGAGTCCTATCAGAGTAGCCACCCCAGGTTCTAATATGGACACTGTATTTTGGGTGTCAAGATAGGACCCAGGATCCCTGAAGCTAGAGCCATCCTTCAAAGCCAAAGCTCTATTTTCTTTAAGCTACTATCATTTCAGCCTTTGTCAAAGCAGCTAATCCTACATCCTAACAAGCACAAAAAATAAAAAATTTTAAAAGCTGATTTGAGGTCTGTTACTAACTAGAAGGAAATGGTGGAAGAGAGGCACTAACTAGTCTTTTGAAGTCCACGTTATATATTGTTTTTAATTAATAGTCTCTGAAGAACAAGGGGTTGAGTAGAGGTAAAGCTTTTGCCCAGTATGCCGGAAGCCCTGGGTTTGATTCCCAGAACGGGTGGTGGGAGGGAATCTGGTATGACACCAATAATATCTCTAGATAAATTAGCATCAAACTAGAAAGACTAAATGCCAAATATATGTAAATCAAGAGAACTCAAAATCCTGGCTTTTGGTGTGTGTTCACTTACCTTCTGGATATCTACGTGAGAGTCAGAGTCATCAAAAAACTCCAGGACTGGAGAGGGTTTGTCAGTAACTGTCCTTCGGTCACCAAGCAGCTCCTCGCTGGGTTTCTCCAGAGGGTCTATAATCACTCGTCTATCACAGAAGCTGCTCCTATCTAATATAGACTTTTCCTCCTTCACCCTGAACTTTGAGGGTGACTCATTCTCTTTCTGGGGAGTGGTAACTTTGATGCTCCTGGCAGGTCCTTCCCTGCTCTTGGTCAGTCTTTCCACACTCTTGACTCTTGATCCTTCCACACTCTTGGCTGGTCCTTCAATGCTCCTGGTCAGTCTTTCTATGCTCTTAACTGGTTGTTCTACGCTCTTAGCTGGTCCTTCCCTGTTCTTGGCCAATCTTTCCTCGTTCTTAGCCAGTCCTTCCACACTCCTGGCTGGTCCTTCTTGGCTGGGATGTTCTCCCAAGTTTGGCTTTCCCGGAGCGGTGGCAGTCTCTCCCTTCCTCTTGGGCATCGACTTCCCTAGGATGCCCTGGATGGCCTTCAGGTAGATCACTGTAGAGCCCTGGTCTCGAAGCCTGTCCTTCTTCCTTTTCTGGACTTTGTTTGGTTCCTCCATAGCACCACTCTGACCCTCGGCTTCAGCTCCAAATTCAGAGTTTGTGGAGTGCCGAGAACTATCTTTAGAATTAACCTGGAATTTAAAAGAGACTTTGAGCCAGGCGTGGTGGTACATGCCTTTACTCCCAGCAAAGAAAGGCGAGTGGATCTCTGTGAGATCAAGGCCAGCTTGGTCTACAAAGGGAATTCCAGACCAGCTGGGGTTACAGAGACCCTGTCTCAAAAAGACCAAAAAACAAATTAATTAAATAAATAAATAAATAATAACAAGACCAACCAACCAACAAACAAATAAATAAATAAACAGACTTTGAAAGAGTTGTCCTGGGGCTGAAAAGATGGCTCAGCGGTTAAGAACACTGGTTGTTCTTGCAGAAGACCCAGTTCGTATCCCAGCACCCATATGGCAGCTAACAACTGCCTATAACTACAGTTCCAGAGGATCTGGCAGTCTCTTCTATCCTCCGCAGGCACTTCACAACACGTGTGCACTTACCTACATGTAGGAAATACACATAAAAAAATAAAATAAATATTAAAAAAAAAAAAAGAATTGTCCTAAGATCAAGCACTTGGCCACTGACAAGTCATTGGTAACCCCACCAGAAACAAGGGAAAGTGAATGTGACAAAGAAGATTCTCTCAGCTTTTTCCCCCGCTGCAGTACAAAGAACCCCTATATAAAGACCTCATTTGCTGCCATCACTTAAAATCCACCTGTCAAGCTCATCAGATAGGACCCTCTTTCCACAGTGGGCAAGGAGGTGTTGAGTCAACAGGGTAATAACACTACACTGCAAGCTCCTGGGAAGTAATGGCACACTGCACAACAGACAAAAGAACAGCTCGACATTTTCCCATTGGAGCAAAGTATCTAGCCCAACCTTACTAAAAACGTCAGGAAACCTAAGGCCCCAAGAAGGGGAAGGGCTGGCCCAAGGAACCTGAGTCCTCCAATTCCTGGGTGAGTTCTGCCCCCACAGCCTCCCTTAATGTCTTATACCAACTCCCTCCCCAAACAGCAGCCTTGCTATTAGAAGGATACGCTCTCAAAGACGACGCAAAGGCACAGCAAGTCACTCTCCCTACCCTCTCTACCCATGCCCACTTCACAGAAACAGATAACATTTTGTGCCCCCTCCCCCACATCCACTTATCCCAGAAGTCCACAGGGAAGCAACTTGATGATAATGTTAAGTCTGTGGAAACACTCAGGACCACTCTTATTCCAGCATGACAAAACACTTGGAGCCCTCCCAAAAACAATGAACCCTCCCCAGCTATGACTATGTCATTATCCTAAGATATTCTACACTCACTACAGCTTGTATTTCTAACTTGTTTGTATTAAGTCCCTCTCAAAATTAAAAATATTCACTCAAGCCAAATGTTATGGGTGGTATACCCATAACCTCAGCACTCAGAAGGCTAAGGCAGGAAGATCACTAAAAGTCTGACTCTAGCCTGAGCTCCACAGTCAGTTCTAAGGCAATCTGGGCTAAATATGTAAGACCTGGTCTCAAAAAAAAAAGATTGGGGAGGACCTAGGTTTGGTTCCTAGCACCCACTTGGCAGTTAACTCCAGTTCCAGGGGTTCTGACACCCCCTTCTGCTCTCCATAGCCAGTGTATGCATGTGATGCACTTACAGACATGCAGGCAAATCACTCATACACATAACATTTTAAAAAAATAGGGCCAGAGAGATGGTTTAGCAGATAAAGTCACTTGTCACCAAGCCTGATGATTTCAATCCCTGGTACTCACATGGTGGAAGAACAGACTCCTGCAAGCTGTCCTCCAACCTCCATACACAAATAATGTAATTAAATACTAAAATTAAAAATCAAACAATGAAAAACTAAATATGCTAGTGAAAGAATATCCATATTGCTGAATACACATTTTGGTTGCAAGACATAAAAGAAATGAAGCTGGTCATTTCCTCCCTGCTGTCTAGCTTTCCTAACACCAGAAGGTGCTACTAGGTTGCTACAAAATTGTCATCAACAGTTTTAGAATGCTTTGGCCCCTGCATGCTACACTACTCACCTGTTAAGCAAGCTGTACCTACTAGTCCGATAGTGGCATTAATATTACAAGAATAACCAACTGCTTTCTGACTATAGAGCTGAGGCCAGCTCCACAGAAGAAGATTCACATCCCATACTATAAAACTGGTCAGAAGCCAGGGGCTGTGGAGGTAAGAGGAAGCTACTACTGTTTTGCTAAATAAACATGATGTTATCTGTCAAAATGCCTTCTAAATATTTATGGTTATGCCTATAAGGTAGTGCTGCTGTTAGCTATGGTTAGAGAAGCTTCTTTTTGCTGTAGGTGGCAGCAGAGACCCTAACTGGTCAAAGTGCTAAGAGTAAGGGATGAATATTCAGCTCTTAATGGGACATCTACATCACCCCTTCCAAGACTCAGGGACTATCAGAAAAGAGGGAGTAGAAAAAATGTAAGAATCGGAGGAAGGGGTGGAGTGTTGTGGAACACTGTCTTCCTGGCATGACATGGCCATTGCACTCATGAACTCTCAGTAACTGTGATTATCTGCACAAGACCAGGCTCATCAACTATACAGGGACATTTTCTTCAGTGGTATAGTCACTGGTAAGTTGCCCACACTTCTTTAAGTAACACACACACACACACACACACACACACACACACACACACGGGGGGGGGGGGGGGGGATGAAAAATACTAACATAACAAAGGCTGCAAAAGTCAAAAACTGAGTTAAGATGAAGGTTAGCCAATGACAGCATTTCAACTGGTGATAGAATGCGACAGAATTAACAGCATTAAGGGCAGACCCAGTACACAACCCTGGCTACAAAAGGGACAGTGTCATTACTCCCAGCAGCACTGCTGTGAAATGTGTATCTCTGTGGGCAGGAGGGAACATTCTGGTGGAGATCTGATTCCAGTCCTTATCAGCACTCCTCCAGTGATCTCTGCACCACAGGGCCAGGCACCCCTAGGCAGTGGGGCAGTAGCTGCAGATTGGTAAGGTTCCAATCAGCTCTGATTCCTAACCAGCTCTGGCATTCTCCCACCCTGTCTTTCTCCAGTGTGTTGGCAAAAGCTCAGAAAAGCAAATCTCACAAGGTTACACTCTGACTTAAAACCTTTCAACAGCCCTGTATTGCCTAAGAACAAATGAAGCTTCTAGGCTTCATTTCCCTCCCTTCTCCACCATGTATACAGAACATGAAGGACGCTAGTTGAGAACTACAGGCATAGCTCAAAGCCACTAGTAAGGAAAACTCCAGTATACCCACCACAAGAAATGACTGAGAAAATGGGTAGGCCAATTACCCAAACTGATGATATACCTGACCCAATACATATTATATACATAGCCTGAAATATCACATTATACTTTCACAGACATGTACAATATGTCAATTAAAAATTTTTAATTAAAAAAGAGGCTGGAGAGATGGTTCAGTAGTTAAGAGCACTGGCTGCTCTTACAGAGGACACGGATTCAAGTCACAGTACCCATATGGTGGCTAATAGTCCTTAACTCCAGTTCCAGGTGATCCAATGCCCTCTGACCTCCATGAGCATTACATGACAGGGGTGTACTTACACACATCCAGGCAGTAACTCACAAATAATAAAAACAGTAACAGCTGGGCATGGTGGCACACACCTTTAATCCCAGCACTCAGGGAGCAGAGGCAGGTGGATCTTTATGAGCTCAAGGCCAGCCTGGTCTACATAGTGAGTTCCAGGCCAGCTCCAGGGAATCTGACACCTCTGGCCTCCATGGGCACCTACACTCACCTACACAAACACACACAGATGATATACACAAAAATTAAAAAAAAAAAAAAAGGCTGGAGAGATGACTCAGCAGTTAAGAACACTGGCTGCTCTCACAGAGGAACTAGGTTTGGTTCCCAGCACCCACATGGTAGCTCACAATCTTCTGTAACTTCAGTTCCAGAGAACCCAACACCTTCTTCTGGCCTCTGCAAGCATTGCATGACACCGGTGCACTTACATACATGCAGGTAAAAACACTCATACACATAAAATTTTTTTAAAATAAATAGAAGCTCTCAAAAAGACCAATAAATAAATAAAATTTCTGCTTTAAAAAAAAAAAAAAGCACCAGGAAAGTCGACACACCTGTAACTCCAGCACTTGGAAGGTAAAGGCAAGAAGATCAGGAGTTCAAGGTAATCCTTGACTACGTATGGAGTCCAACCTGGGCTAAATGTGCCCATCTCAAAAAAAAACAAACAAAAAAAGGAAGGGGGGGAAAAAGACAAAATAAACCACCAGGAAAATTTTAAAAACAAACTTACCTTCCTAAGGCCTGTTTTTATTGCTTCTATTAAACAACTTTCCTTAGGGGCAGTGCCTCTCCCGCCCAGATAACTTTCCACACCATTCCACAGACAATGCTTAATGACCTTTTAAGACTAGCAGAGCTCCAAAATCTATGGTGTAGATTCAAAGCATGAGATGGACCTCCCCTGTAAATCACTCCTCCGTCTGTCCCAAGGACTTACTACCTCTAGTGTTTCCACTGAGGAACTAGACTTGAGTGCATCGCCAAAAACAACAAACTTTAAAAGGAAAAAAAACAAACTCAATATGCTCCCAGCATGTTTTCACGCTGGTGAAAAGCCACACAAAGAACCCAATTCCTTGGACTCTGTGATTCAGAGTAGCTCAAAGTACAATTTTTCCATTCCACTAATTTGACTCTCTTGCCCCACTGTTCATTTACAATTACCTGAAGATTGCGGAGGACCCCAAGCCCACTTCTATCATTTTCTTTGGGTGGCAGGCCATAAGCATTAAAAACATTTTTTTTTGGGGGGGGGGTGTTTTTGAGACAGTTCTCCCTGTATGTAGACCCAGCTGGCCAGGAACTCACTACTGTAGACCAGACTGGCCTGGAACTCACAGAGATCCGCCTGCCTCTGCCTCCCAAGTGCTAGGATTAAAGGTGAGTGCCACCAGGCCCAGCTAATTATTTTTGTTTTATGTGTGTGTTTTGCCTGACGGTAAGCATGCAATACTCGAGAAAGCCAGAAGAGGGTGTCGAGCCCCTGGAACAGGAGTTAAGGACAGTTGTTGGGGGCCATGTGGGTCCTCTTCAAGAGCTGCCAGTGCTCTTAAATCACTGAGCCATCTCTCCAACCCCCACAAGCATTTTAAAGTTTTCCAAGTGTCCAAATTGTCACTAAGTTGGAGCTTCAGGCCCTGACACACTGCCTGCTCTTCCCACGTTGAGCAGACTAGACAGGGAAGACCCCAGGGCACTTCCAAAACAAACATGATCTCAGTACAGCCTCCACCCACCGAACTTCTCAACCGCCACCTCTAAAGACACGTGACTCACACAGCCCCGCCACCCACCTTAAGGCTGCAGGTTTCCTTCTGTAGAGAAGCCATTTTCCCTAGGGAGGAGCGGGCAGGGTGCAGAGGGGATCCCTTGGCCGAAAGGAACCTTCGAGTGTTTTGAATCGGGCAGCCTAAGGAGACGGCCCTGCTCACACTTGGGCCAGAAGAGTAAGAGGACCGGGAGGAGGAGGAAGAGGAGGAGGAACTTCGCCGGCGGGACGAGCTCCTGGGCTTGCAGGCCACATTCCCCTGTAGGGCTTTCAGTCGCTTGGGGCTGCTGGCCCCTCGTGGACGCGACGCAGAAGTCCGAGCTGGCCGGCTGGAGGGGGCCACATCGCCGGGCTCCCGGGGGTGGCTGCGCTTGCGGGAACACACTTCGGAAGTGCTGCTCCAGTGGTACTTGACCTTGCGCCGCTCCGACGCCATGGGCACCTGCAAGGGAAAGGGGAGACCTGATCGCCTGCTCACCTCGCGCCTCCGGGAAGCCCCAAGGGCGGAGGCGGGACCGACGCCACTGACCTTCCCGTCTCCTTTCCTCTGCCCATCCCAGTTCTGCAGGGTTCGGGGATGCCACTGCGCTTCCGAGACGCGGCCGTAAGCCGAGATCTGCTCCGAACCCCACGGCGCGCTTCCCACGTCGGCGAGCGCTTGTCAGCACCGAGCCACTTCAGAGATGCCGCTTCCGGGAGAGCCGTGCGCCGAGGTGGAGCCGGGGGTAGAAAGCCCCTCACCTGCGCCCACACGCTTCCCAAAGCCGCCGTCACCTCCGCGGCCCACGGCCCGCACCGCAGCCCTGAGGCCACAAGCGCCCCGCAGGCCCCGGACGCCAAGGGCGGGCCGCAGGCGGGGTGGCCGCCCGGCTCCCGCCGTTTTTTTCGACCTCGCGAGCTGCGCGCCGGAAGCTGCCTCAGCCAGCCCAGTCACCACCGCGGCCCTCTCGGCCCACCGGGCCTCTGCAGCCACCGCCCTTGCCTGGGCCTCCGCCCAGCCAGCCACTCCTCAGCCTCGGCGACCGCCCCACCCCCGGAACCTGCCCTGCGGCCGACTGCTGGAGCGCGGCAGGGGCGGAGCCTGCGCCCTGAGAGCGCCCATTGGTCTACTCGGGAGGGGCGGGGATACGCCCAAGATGCAGCGCGCCTATTGGTCAAGGGCCTGGGAGCGGAACCCTACGCCTTCAAGGCTCTTGGGTGGAAGACGCTAAGGGCGGAGCCTCTCACGTGGACCTGGAGCGGCGCTGGGCACCCGCTCTTGACTTGCCCGGTCCCCCGTCCACAAGGTTGCAGCGAACTGGCAGCTACACGGTGCCTGGGTATCGGATTTGCGCGTAGTACACGCGTCTCTCACCCTGTGCTAGGCATCCTCACCCATTTTACAGAACAGGAAACTGCGTTAGGGAGACCCAGTGACACACCCAGAAAGTGACAGAATTGAACTTAGAAAATGTAAGCCACAAACAAAATAGAGCCAGGCCTGGTGGATAGACCTGTTATCCCAGTTACTCAGGAAGCTGGGAGGATTGCCAAGTTCAAGGCCAGTCCAGCCAATTTAGGGAAACCGTGTCTACAAATAAAACATTTAAGAGAGGGGGATAAACTAGCTGTGGTGGTTTATGCCTGTAATCCTAGCATTTGAAAGACTGAGGCAGGAGAATTGGTGTTGAGTTCAAAACCAGCCTGGGATATATAATGAGGCTAGCCTAGGCTACAGAGTGAGAACGTGTCTAAAAATACCAAAAATATTAAAAAGTGGTACACTTGCCAGGCGTGGTGGTGCACGCCTTTAATCCCAGCACTCGGGAGTCAGAGACAGGCAGATCCCTGTGAGTTCAAGGCCAGCCTGGTCTACATAGTGAGTTCCAGGACAGCTGGGGCTAAAGGGAGACCCTGTCTCGAAAAGACAAAAAAATAATAAGTTCTACACTTTTAGGATTACATGTGTAATCCTAGCACTTGGGAGGTGGCAGCCAGAGGATCAAAAGATTTCAAGGTCACCCTCAACCTCTTCAGTAGACTATCTCAAACTTCCTCACACCGCCCCACCCCCAAAGGCAAGGGGTTATAGCTCCAAAGCAAAACACAGGAGACCCTGATCCTTCCCCCCCCACCCCCGCACCAAATAAACCAGGTATGGTGATGCAAGCCTGTAATCCCAGCAGGATGGAGATAGGAGGATCTGATGTTAGAGGTCTGCCTAGGATATGTAAAACCCTCTCAAAAAATGGGGGGTGGGGGGTGGAGCTGGAGAGCTGTCTCAGCAGTTAAGAGCACTGGCTGCTCTTCCAGAGGACCCAGGTTAAGTTCCCAACACCCACATTGCAGCTAACTATGGTCTGTAACTGCAGTTCCAGGGGATTCAATGCCCTCTTCTGGCCTCCTTGGGCATTGCTCACACAGGTACACTTACATACATGCAGTCATTAAAATACTCATAAAATTTTAAGAGGGCGTGGAGGCACATGCCTTTAATCCCACTTGGGAGGCAGAGACAGACCAATATCTATGAATTCAAGTCTACATAGTGAGTTCCAGGCCCGGTGGGCTACAGGGAGAACCTGTCTCAAAAAAAAACAAAAAAGAATCTTTTTCGGGTTTTTTTTGGTCTTCTTGAAGCAGGGTCTTCCTGTAAGCTCCAGATGTCCTGGAACTCACTATGTAGACCAGGCTGGCCTTGAACTCATAGAGATCCACCTGCCTCTGCCCCCCAAGTGCTGGGACTACAGGTATGCGCCACCACGCCCAGCTAAGAATTTTTTTTAATTATTTATTTAATAACCACGTGATTAGAAGCATTTCTTTGCAACAGTGTTGACATTTTCAATAAAAATTTCCAGAGCAAAGATGCATCTCTTTCAAAACTGGCTATAAATTTTTAGGTTCACAGTTGAATTAATATAGTTATACAATATTGTACTAAGTATAAACCCTGTAAGACATAAAATTGAATGAGGTTTTAACCTTTAAAAAAGATCATTTCATTTTAAAATGTACTGTTTCCTACAGAAAAACTCATTTTTAATGCAACGCTTAGATGTTTGCACATGTGTCTCTAATCTATATATGATTATTACTAGTCACAGTTGGTTACTTTCTGAGATACTTGGCACCTGAGCATGGATTTAAAGTCATCAGGTAGATTTCAATGGTAATGTTTTTCACCTCTACTAATTGGGGAAAAAAAAAAAAAAAGGCTTTTTAAAAAAGAAACACCTGGTGGGGCTGGTGAGCTGGCTCTGGCTCAGTGGTTAAGAACATTTGTTGTTCTTGCAGAAGACCCTGGTTCGAATCCCAGTACACATATGGCAGCTAACGACTGTCCGTAACTCCAGTCCCAGGGGATCCGACAGCCTCTTCTGACCTCCACCGGCATTGCAGGACACAGGTGCACTTACCTACATGCAGGCAATACACACATACACATAAAATAAAAATAATAAAAAAAAAACCTGGACTGATGCCTCCCATATTCAGAGTGAGTCCTCAGTTAATCCTCTCTGTAACTACTCTTACAGACACAACCAGAGATGTCTCCTAAATAATTGTAAATATAATCAAGTTGATTTTTTTTACACTGCTTGTAAGTGCACTGCATGTAAGTCATGCAATACCTGCAGAGGCCAGAAGAGGGCATTGGATCCTCTAGAACTGGAATCAGAGTAGAGAGTTATCGGTGTTGGGAATCCAACCAAGGCCCTCTGTAAGAGCAGCCAGTGCTCCTAACTGTTGAGCCATCTCTCCAGCCCCCATAATGCACTATTTACAACAGTTCAGATGAAAACAACCTTAATATCCTTGGAGGAACTGGTGTATAAATACTCCAACCCATTTACAGTGAGGTCACAGCTGATGAAACTCAACCCAAGTTGAAAATATGGTACTTACATTGCCTCAGTGGGAAAAACCACTTGCCACACAAGTGTGAGGACCTGAGTTCAAATCCCTAGAATGGATGTCAAAGCTGAATGTGTAGCAAGAGTGTATGTGATACTAGCACTCCTATGGAGAAATGGGAGGCAGAGACAGGAGGAGCCTTAAAAGCTCTTCAACCAGCTAGCCTTTCATACGAAGCAGAAAAATAAGAGACCTTATCTCAAGGTAGTAGACAAGGACAACCAAAGTTGTCCTCTGACCTCTACATGCAACACATACACACACACACACACACACACACACACACACACACACACAAATAGAAAGAATATCCTTTCAAACACATGGTACAAACAAATTCATCCAGACACAAAAGCTTACTTTACAAACATGTTTTTATTTTACAAAATAGACACTATAGAATTATTTAAAATAGGGCATTTCTCCTAGTGAATTAGAAAAATCTTTGCTTCACAAAAAGATTTGCAACATAACTTTCGAAAAATATATTGTTCTAGTTTGTTCATCACTGTGACAAAACACTCTGACCAATACCAACTTGGGGAGGAAAGGGTTTATTCAGCTTACAACTCCCAGGTCACAGTTCAGGAAGCCCAAGGTAGGAACTCAGAGCAGGAACCTGGAAGCGGGAGCTGGAGCACAGGCCATGGAGGAATGCTGCTTACTGGCTTATTGGCTTGCTCCCCTGGTCCCTGCTCAGCCTGCTTTCTTATGCAACACAGGCCCACCTGCCCAGGGGTGGCACCACCGACAGTGGGCTGGGCCCTCCCACATCACTCATCAAGAAGATGCCCCTCAGACATGGCCATAAGCCAGTCCAATAGAGGAAATTCCCCAATTGAGGCTCCCTCAACCCAGGTGTCAAGTTGACACTAAAGCTATCCAGCACATATATCCACTGCATGAATATTATCTACACAGCAGAACTATGATCTTTTTTTTTTTTAATAAAACAGGACAATTACATTTTCAAAGTGCTTCTATAACCATTGCACCTTTTCTCCCAAGAGGTGAGGCAGGGAGGATGAGCAGGGGTTATCTTACAGGGACACTGGGATCCCACACATTAAATGATTGACTTTATTAGCAGCAGAATCAGACATGAGACAAGTACTTGTGATTCTTCATTCAGCTCGGAAATAACACACTCTCAGAGTCTCCATTAGAAACAGGTAAACTGGTGGGATAGAAAGAGGAGGGTGCTGAGCAACAAGATTACCAACTGAAGAAGTAGGAAATAGTTCTTTACCATGTGTCTGGTGTTGGTAACTGAACTTAGGAGGTGAGTCCAGAATTGCACTGGGCCACCAGCTGAAGGTCTTTCAAAATATGGAAGTTTACAGGCAGCTGATCAAATGTGACTCACAGATGGTACTCTGGAAAACACCATGAGCACTACAGGATTTCTCTGCTAGTTGTTGATTGGTGAGGGGCAACAGCATCTCTTGGGGTGGTGATCGTCACAGGCTCCACAAAACCACAAAACCACCCACATCCTGAGTCCATGCCTTCTGCACTTCCTGGATTTTTGGGGCCTATATAAATTGAAGTCCCCTCTCCCCTAACTCTGATGAAATGGAAGTGTCCTTCCGTTCCATCAGTGCAAGCTGGTGTTTGGGTTATATGGTTCTTGGCAGACCTTGGACTGCCCCAGTCCTTTTCCTTGACTGGACACTTGTCTATCTAACTGAAGACAAGGATCCTCAGCTATGCTCTGGTCATCAGGAGCCAAAAAGCTCAATGCTGTCCAGTTTATCTTCTTTGTAGAGCAGAATGTTCTCCATCAGCTTTCTTTTGGCCTCATTGATCTCAATTTTCCATGAAGTCTCTGTAGCTAATGTTGAACAAATAGAGAAAGAACAACTTGAACAAGTTACCATTTAAATCCTTCAAGTCAGTCTTGGTCAGACTCTCACATCAAGTTTTGGAATAAAGCCCTAAATGTAAGCAGCATGTCTATGGCTTCTGCCTTTGCAGGGAAGCCCACAGCCTCCCCACCCAAACACCTTTCCACAGAGGGGTTCCCATGCTCTCCACAGGGTGAGGAGATTTGGAGTCAATATCCTCCTTCGTCCCCAAAGGAGTGGTCAGAGCCAAGACAATCAATGAGCCACATTTATAGAGCATGAGAACACTTCTTTGAAAAGGCTTTCCTGGGGCTGAGAGATGTCTCTGTGGTTAAGAGTACTGGCTGTTCTTGCACAGGACCTGGGCTCGGTTCCCAGCACTCACAACCTGTAATTCTAGTTTCAGGGAATCCAATACCTTCTTCTGGCCTCTGTGGGCACCAGGCACAAACATAGTGCACATACACATGCACAAACTCACACATACACATTAAAAAAACCTTTTAAAAGACCTTCTAAGCCAGGGGTGGTAGCGCACGCCTTTAATCCCAGCACTTGGGAGGCAGAGGCAGGTGGATCTGAAGATTGAGAGTCTTCCTTCAGCTAAGGCAGGTTTTTTCCTGGAGAAGCATCTTTTCTGTAGAGAAAAAAAAAAAAAAAAAAAAAAAAAAAAAAGACCTTCTAAACTTTTTATTTCACAAGGAAGTTTGGCATATTGGGCTGAAATGGGAGTGATTTAGAAGTGGTTAGCAGGAAGAGCAGTCAGGAAAGACCATGTAGAGACTTACTAGTCCCAGGAAAGTGTCTCTAAGTGCAAGGAGGACTTTAAAAGAAGGGGTACCATACAGCATGTCTTTATAAATCACTGTAGCAGGATGTGGTGGCACTCCAGAGGCTGAGGCAGGAGGATCATGAGTTAAAAAGAGTCTGGGGCCAGGCATGGTGGTACATACCTTCAATCCCAGCACTTGGGAGGCAGAGGGATCTCTGTGAGATCGAGGCCAGCCTGGTGTACATAGCGAGTCTCGCCCAGGGAGACCCTGTTTCAAAAAGACAAAATAGATAAATAAATAGTCTGGGCTACGTAGAGAAACCGATTAAAGGCGTGCACCACCACGCCCAGCAAAATATATTACTTTTTAATTTCCATACCTTTAGTCTCAGAACATGGGAGGCAAAGGCAGGTGGCTCTCTGTGACTTCAAGGCCAGCTGGTCTCCATAGCAAGTTCCAGGCTAGAAAAGCCTATATAGTGAGAACTTGTCTCAAAAAAATACACAAAAAGTGGCTCTAAATATGATCAAAATATATTGTATGAAATTTGCAAAAATTCAAATTAACAAAATAACCAAAAACAGACAAACAAAAAGCCTGCAGTTTAAAATAAATAAGCAAAATAAAAAATACACATGTGGGCTCATACCTGTAATCATACCACCTGAGAGGCAGGCAGGAAGAAAGGACTGTTGTGAGATCAAACCCAGCCCAGGCTACATAGCAAGTTCCAGTCGAGCCTGGGGCGTGGGGTGAGACCTGACTCAATTTATCTATTTTTATTTGAGGTGGGTGTTTGCTGCCACATGCATCCCACCCCCATACACACATACTTATACATGAAGGCATTTGTGGAGGTCAGAGGATAAATTGCTGGAGTCAGTTTTCTCCTACCATGTAGGCTGTGGTGATTGAACTCAGGTTGTCAGGCTTGGAAGAAAGTGCCTTTACCTACTCAGTATTCTCACCAGCCCTATCTCAAAAAATAAAATATTTTTAAAAAGTAAAACATAGCCGAGCATGGTGGCGCACGCCTTTAATCCCAGCATTTGGGAGGCAGAGGCAGGGGATCTTTGTGAGTTCGAGGCCAGCCTGGTCTCCATAGAGAGTTCCAGGATAGCTGGGGCTACAGAGAGACCCTGTCTCAAAAAGACAGAAAAAAAAAAAAGGTAAAACATAATGTACTGTACACCTGTAACCTAGGACTTGGAATGTTGAGGCAGGAGGATCAAGAGTTCAAGGTCATCCTCAACTATGTAGAAGTTTGAGACCAGCCTAGGCTACATGAGACCCTGTCTTAAAAACAACAAAACAAAAACCTCCAGGGTTGGGAAAGAGTGGTTATTTACCCTAGCATGCATGACCTCAGCACAACACACACACACACACACACACACATACACACACACACACACACACACAAAAAGAAAAAAAAAAAACATAAACCAAAATCCTCTCACTGGCTCCTGGAGGAAGAACCGGTAATCCAGAGGCCAGAGTGGATGGGGGCGGGGGGACTGTGCAGTTCTGGCAAATGGCCAGTAGCTACAACAGGGGCAATACAGAGGTGGTGGGAGATTTAACAGACAAGTGAATGGCAGAATCATGAAACAAAGCCATCAATGAGGATAGAAAGGGACCTAAGTAATGGGTACAGGACTGAGCATGCATAAGCATCTGCCTGTCTGTGCTTACCATCCTGAAGTGGCTGCCTGCCTCCACAGGTGTCTGAGGAAGAATCAGCCTCTGGTCCTCCACTGGTTGGTGGCAGACCAGTTCTATTCTCCACAGGGAGTGGACAGGAGGCAGCCCTTGCAGAAGCCTCTAGCATCATCAAAGAGGAGACACAGAGGCTGGAATTGTCAACGTCATCTGTTTCCTCTGGGGTATTAGAAGATGAGCCCATGCCCTCAGAAAGCCTGCTCCAAGGAAGAAGAGATGGCTGACCCTGGAGCCGCTCCTCCACCTCAGCCATGGAGACTTGTGCCTTGAAGAGAAAACAGACAAAACATGCCCATCAGTAACTCTTGGGAAGTGGAAAGGCAGACACCCATCCTCCAGGAGTTATAATCAAATGCCTGCTGCAGATGGAAGAATAGCATCCAGCCTTTAAAAAGATATGAACTTGGGGCTGGAGAGCTAGCACAGCGGTTATGAACACCGACTGTTCTTGCAGAAGACCCAGGTTTGAATCCCAGCACCCACATGGCAGCTAACAACTGTCTGTAACTCCAGTTCCAGGGGATCTGACAGTCTCTTCTGTCCTCCGCAGGCATTGCGGTGTACTTACCTACATGTAGGTACGTACATACACATAAAATAAAAATAATAAATAAAATATTTTTTTTAATTATATGAACTTGGCCCCACCCTCACAGCCAGGTACGAGAGCATGTGAGCACACAGGTATCAATCATGCACCTCATCCACTGACCACAACAATCAGGTTAAGTATTGGCACATGACCTTAGGTAACCAATCAGTATCCTACCTTGAGATTTTTTTCCCACTTAGAGCCAAAAGGATTCTCCTATGTTTTCTAGTGGCAGAACAAGACTCCTAAAATAGGAAACCCGTTCATAGTGGGAGAAACTGAAGCCCCCAAAGGAAGGAAAGCAGAGGTAAGTGATGGAGAGAGAGCTATGGGCCCAAGGCACAACTGTTGGAGAGCCTGGGTGTGACTGCCTTAAGAGCAAAACAGTACTGGTCCTCTGCTGTTTGGTCAATTGAGCCACTAAGTTAATTCACTCATTCATGTTCTCCCTGCCTCTGTCTCTGTCTCTGTCTCTGTCTCTCCCTCTTTGTGTGTGTGTGTGTGTGTGTGTGTGTGTGTGTGTGTGTGTGTGTGTGTGTGTAGGTCTAAGAGCTCAAGTTGAATCATTATCCTTGGGCATGTTAGGCAAACACGCTTCCACTGAGCTACATCTCAGCCCTTTCCTTTTGCCTTCTTATTTTTGAGACAAAGTCTCACTAAATTGCCTATACTAGCCTGGAATTCACTCTGCAAGCCCAAACTGGTCTTGAACTTGCCATCCTCATCCTTCAGCCTCCTGAGTACTGGGATTACAGACTTGCACCACTAGATAAAGTTCACATACATACCTTTAATGAGACAAATTTCATTTCCTTTTGCCTTGCAAAAACATTCAGTGTAGGAAGCTGAGATGGCTCAGCAGGTAAAGGTACCTGCTGTTAAACCCAACACTTGAGTTCAACCCTAGAACCCACATGATAGGAAGAGAGAACTGACTCTCACAAGTTGTCCTCTGACCTCCACATGTACCTCATAGTGTTTGAGCATTCCAGTTCCCCCATCCATAAAAACCTGAGTTCAATCACCAGAGCCTACATGGTGGAAGGAGAAAACTGACTCCTACAATTTGTCCTCTGACCTCCACAAGTGCTTCCGTGTGTATGAGGATGGGGCACATGTGGCAGCAAACACACACCTCAAATAAAAATAGAAAAATTGAGCCAGGTCTCACCCCACGCCCCAGGCTCGACTGGAACTTGCTATGTAGCCTAGGTTGGGTTTGATCTCACAGCAGTCCTCTCTTCCTGCCTGCCTCTCAGGTGGTATGATTACAGGTGTGAGCCCAGGTGTGTATTTTTTATTTACATTAACACTACTCAGCCAGAGGATGACAGAGCTGAGCTGACTGACCAGTGAATCAGCACCCGATGGCTTCCCAGTCCACTGCGCAGCCCAGCTCTTAGCTTTCTAGCTTGGCTGTGATATACTGTGGTAAGCACCACTTCTTAGTTCTTTCTTCCATATCTAAAATGCCCTACCCCCTTTAGTCTAAATGGCTAGTGTCTCCTCATTTTTCAAGGTCCAGGTCAAATGTCAACACCTGAGATAAATATTCATATTGGATATCCATGCTAAAAACTGCATTTCTGCACACGCCTTTAATCCCAGCACTTGGGAGGCAGAGGCAGGCAGATGTCTATGAGTTCAAGGCCAACCTGATCTACATAGTGAGTTCCAGGACAGCTGGGGCTACAGGAAGACCCTGTCTCAAAAAGACCCAAAAAGACCCCCCCCAAAAAAAACACTGCATTTCTTTGTAGCCCTGTGTGACCCATAGAATGTGAAAAAAAATGATGTATGCTTTCAAAAAGAAAGTATGTAAGGGTGTGTCCTCTTCTTTTAATTTTTTAAATTTATTTATTTATTTATTTATTTATTTATTTAATTAATTAATTAATTTATTTTTTGGTCTATTTGAGACACGGTATTCCTGCAGTCCCAGCTGGCCTAGAATTCACTATATAGACCAAGCTGGCCTTGAACTCACAGACATCCGCCTGCCTCTGCCTCTGCCTCCAAGTGCTGGGATTAGAGGAGTGTGCCACCACCCCTGGCCAGCCAATGCCATTAACCACTGAGACATCTCCAGCCCCTCTTTTAACCTTCATTCCCTGGCCTGAAAGCAGATGTGATAGACTGAGCTACAGTTGCCACCTCAGACCCTGAAGTGGAAGCCATGAGAATAGCATAGTAACCACATAAAATAAGCCTGAGTCCCTAGTATTCTGGCACTGCCACATCAGCACTAGATTGTCCGTCTTCAGAGCCAAGAGAATAAACTTCTATCTAGGTTAAGCAATCTGTATTTTGGTGTCCCCTTGTAGCTTCACCTGTACCTTAACTGACACACTGAACCACTGATGGAATGAATAACTGACGGCTTGAATGGAAGTGGGTAGTTAAGGGAGTGATCAGTTTACAATATAACTGATTTTACCCTGCTCCTATCCAAATCCATAGTGACCTGAAAAAATACCCCTACTGTGCCCTCCAGAGCCCTCTCACTCTGGACTTCTTTCTTTACCTGCCTCATGACAAGCCATTCTACCCTAGGAACTTTGTGCCCCAGCCACTTGGACCTTCCTCCATGCCCATGGACATGCCAGCCTCTCCCTCAGCTCAAGTCATTTGCATGAGCTGACCTGTTTGGACTCTTCATTATCTGTTTCAGCATCAGTTCCTGGCCAGGTCTTTCACAGTGGGTCCTATCATGTGCTATCCTGGCACTTACCACAGACAACTTCTGTGCAATGACTAGGAGCACCAGAAGGGAGGGAGGATGGGGGGAAACAGGGGAACAGACAACGACAGGGGTAGCTCGCGCAGATGGGCAGATCCCCTGTGATCAGTGAAGGGCTAAGCATGGTAGCCCCTTAGGCATTTGTTACAGCCCAGCTTATGATGTAGACTCCAAGAGGGTAGTGGAAAAGCCTCCCAGCCAAGGACAGAAGAGAAGAGGTAAATCAGGTTGCGAACAGGCAAGAAGATGGCTCCCACAAGAGATCCTAGACTGCACCCCCTGCAGTCCAGCCACACACCCATCCTCAGGGTCCTCCATGATCCACACAGCACCCCTGCTTACTGACATGGGCTCCAGTAGGTTCTACTGTTGAGAACCAAGCCCAAACATGCCTTATCATATCACCAGTGGAAGCATCACCCCAACTAAGGCAGGCCGCAGGAAGCTTACCTCTTCCAGGCTGGCATTGCGCCTCCGTAGGCAGAGGCAGATGGCAGTGGCCCAGGCCTCTGCACAGGGCTCTGGCAATGGCCCTGCCCTCTTCTCTATATGGTTCTGGCAGATCTCCTTCACCACCACATTTTCCACACCTGTCTTCCTGGAGCAGAGGGAGGTGGTGCTGCTAGGAATCTCACTTAGAAGCAAATCCTTCTGTTGGGTGGAGATTGAGAAAATCCAAGTGAGCTGCTAGGTTTTTCAAAGATGCAGAGGTCCCCAAAACAAGTCCAACGCCCAGGAACTGGAGAATCTCCAGACCCCTTCTGAACAAAGGTCATTCCCTAGGGGATTCACAGCTCATCTGCAGTAGTTTAATTCACCCAGCCTCATTGGCTCTTTCAGAATAATGGGGACAAAGAATGCCTACTCCTGGGTGTAACACAAAAACAAGCAAATGGGCCTAAAGCACAAAGTGTGACACCTGACAGAATAAATATTCAATATCCCATTATAATAAATACCATCATTTGTAAAATCTATGCATAAGGAATACTAATAACTTCCATTTGCATGCCCAGCACTTATAATTTAATCTTTTTTAAAAAAGATTGGGATGAGGGGGGAACTGGAGAGATGACTCAGTGGTTAAAAGCACTGATTGCTCTTGCAGAGAACCTGAGTTCAATTCCTAGCATCTACATGGTGGCTAACAACCATTCATAACTCTGGTTCCAGAAGATCTGACACCTTCTTCTGACCTTCATGGGCACTGCATGACACGGGTACACTTACACACATGCAGGCATAACACTCATACACATAAAAATAAAAATAATTTTTTTAGCCAGGCGTGGTGGTGCACGCCTTTAATCCCAGCACTCAGGAGGCAGAGGCAGGCGGATCTCTGTGAGTTCAAGGCCAGCCTGGTCTACATAGTGAGTTCCAGGACAGCTGGGGCTTCAGGGAGACCCTGTCTCAAAAAGACAAAAAAAATAAATAAATAAAAATAATTTTTTAAAAAAAGACCAGGGTAATCAAAGGTGCCTTTTCCCAAAAGGCATCTGAAACATCTCAGTGAGAAATATGTGAAGAATGAAGTACAAGATTGTTGCTAACAGCAAAGAGGGCTGGGAATGACATCACTTCCAAATGAAGAGGGAGGGTGAGGAGGAAAGTGAGACTACAAACTCATTTATGGGATTGGAGATGTAGCTCAGTTGATACACTGATTGCCTAGCATGCAGAAAGCCAAAAAGTGGTCATGGTAGCCTATGCCTCAAATTTCAACACTTAGGGGTGGGCAGGAGAATTAGGAGTTCAAGGTCATCCCTATATTTGTTATATCTAATTAGCATAAGCTTTATTTATTGTTAGTATGAATTTTTTTGTTGTCTTTTTGAGATAGGGTCTCCCTGTAGCCCCAGCTGGCCTGGAACCCACTACATAGACAAGGCTGGCCTTGAACTCACAGAAATCCTCCTGTCTCTGCCTCCCAAGTGCTGGGACTAAAGGTGTGTACCACCATGCCTGGCTAGTGTGACTTTTTTAATGCTACATATGTACATATTTATAATTACATATTGTAAAATGCATGGCATTTTAAAACTGGGCATGGGGATACACATCTGTAATCCTAGCACTCCAGAGGCTGAGGAAGGAGAATAGTAAATTTAAGGCCAACCTGAGCTATATAGCAATACTTGTTTTCTCTGCCTAAAATCCACTACCAGGTTTCCAGCCTTCACCCCATTCCAGTCACAGCTCAGATGTCCCCTTCTCTATGCGGCCTTCTCCAGCCTCAATCGGCCAGTCCCTGCTCCTTCCCTCTGTCTCCCAACCTTCAGTTTCTTCAATGCACATTCTTCTACCTGGAGTTATCATCTTTGTTTACTTGCGTCTGTTCTCCCTCACTGGACTTGGAGCTCCATCAGGAAAGAAGCCTTATCTTTCTCACAGTTGCATCCTCTGCACTTCAACCAGTGCCTGACACAAGGTAAGTCTCTCGCAAGTGTTTTCACAACTGAACATACTAATTTCTTATTTCTGGATAAGGGTATTATGATTTTTCATGTTTGTATCCTTTTTAATTTCATTTTTATTTTATGTATGAGTGTTATGCCTGAATGTAAGTGTACCCATGCATGCAATGTCCATGGGGCCAGAAGAGGGCATTGGATCACCTGGAACTGGAGATACAGATGGTTGTTAGCTGCCATGTGAGTGCTGGGAACCAAAATAGGGTCCTCTGGCAGAGCAGCCAGTGTTCTTCATCACTGAGCCATCTCTCTGGCCCCTTGTTTGTATACTTAAAAAAATTCTTGAGCCAGGCGTGGTGGCGCACACCTTTGATCCCAGCACTGGGGAGGCAGAGGCAGGCGGATCTCTGTGAGTTCAAGGCCAGCCTGGTCTATATAGTGAGTTCCAGGCCAGCTGGGGCTACAGGGAGACCCTGTCTCAAAAAGACCAAAAAAAAAATTAATTATGTGTATATGTACATGTCTGCATATAGGTATGTGTATGTGAGTGCAGGTGCCCACAGAGGCCAGAGCACTGGAAACCTCTTGGGCTAGAGTTACAGGCAGTTATGAACCACCTGAAACTGAACTTGGGAATTGAACTTGGGTCCT